GTTTTGGGGTACATGTGAAGAACATGCAAGACTGTTGCATAGGTACACATGTGGCAGTGTGATTTGCTGCCTTCCTCCCCATCGCCTACATCTGGCATCTCTCCCCTTGCTATCTCTCCACAACTCCCCACTCCCTACCGTCCCTTCCCTATTTCCCCCCAACAGGCCCCAGTGTGTAGTGCTCCCCTCCCTGTGTCCATGTGTTCTCATTGTTCAACACCCGCCTATGAGTAAGAACATGCAGTGTTTGATCTTCTGCTCTTCTGTCCATAAGAACTTTCACTCCCTCAACCAGGCAAACTGCTAGCTTCCTTTCCAAATATCCCCAGGCAAAAGGATTTGCTGTTGTTATTCCAGTGAAGGAGGGGCAAATTTTATAAATTGTATTAATAAAATTTAAAATAATTTTATTAAAAATGATTTAATAATTTAAATAGTAATCTGACCAGGTAATTCATGGTTAGAAAATAAGATGTGAAAGGTACACAGTGAAAAGTCTACCTTTGCCCTGCCACTTCCATGAGCCTAGTTCCCAGCCGGAAGAAACCACTGTCACTAGTTTCTCGTGACTCTTCCTGAAATACTTTTTAAATATACAAGCAAATATAAATGTGTTTTTCCCCCTTCCAACTGTTCTTTACATATTTTTGGTTTTTACGCAAATGAAAGCATACCAAACACACTCTTTTGAAGCTTGACTTTTTCCATTTTAGCAGTGGATCCTGGAGTTCTTCCATATTCAAACATAAGGTGCTTCCTCTTTTTCTCCCCACAGTTACATGGCCTTTCACATTTTGGATGTATAGTAATTTTACAAGTTCCCTTCCAATGGACAAGACTATCTTTGGTCTTTCGCAATTAAAAGTAATGTTTCATCCAGTAATTGTATACCTATATCATTTAGCACATGCTCAAGTGTAAGCATCAAATAAATTTCCAGAACAAGAACTGCTGGGACAAAGAGCACACGTAGTTGTAATTTTGATACATTTATGGGATTGCCCTCTAAAGGGGTTATTTACACCAGTTCCACCAATTACATGTGCAAGTAGTGGCCTCATCAATCAACTAATGTAGAAAACCCAAAACAAAATGATCAACACCAAGCGTTTTTGCCAACCTCATATCTCACTGTAGTGTTCGCTACCTCTCTTATTGTCAGGTTAGTGTCCATTCACATGTGTATGAACCACTGAGACTTCCTCTACGTAGCCTGTAGAGCCTCTTTATTTATTAGGCATATTAGCCCTTTGTCTATGCTAGAAGTCGCAGAAAAAGTTTTAAATTCATTTTCACAAGTGTGAAAGGAATGGTTCGTAAGGTCACATTGTAAACTTTGATTTGTTCATTCAGTCAATATTTATTGAGGATCGACCATGTGCTTATCATGCAGCTCCACAGGATCAAAACTCACTCAGAATGCTGAACAAGGCAGACGCTGCCTTTACAGCTTAGAGTCTAACAGAACAGTTAATTAACCAGGTGATTACATCATGATGATATTCTGAGGTTGGTGGGTTTCATCTGGAGACAGCAATTACAGACTCTTCTTTCCATCAGTAATTGATAACGCCTGTTTTCCAGATGGGAGGGCACAGGCCACGGCCAGCTGTGTCAAGGGTCCATTGACAAGGTGAAAAATAGGACCAGAAAATCTAAAAATGGAAACACTGAAAGTTTGCCTTTGACTGGTTTGGATGTTTTGTCCCCAGCAAATCTCATGTTGAAATGTGATTCCCAATGTTGGCGGGGGTTATGGGGGCAGGTCCCTCATGAATGGCTTGGTGTCCTCCTTGCAATAATGAGTTCTTGCTCTATTAGTTCACACAAGATCCAGCTGTTTCACTCATTTCCCATTTGCCTCAAGAACACTGTTGTCTCTAATCCTAATGGAACACCATACACATTTCTATTACATTAGGATTAGAGACGAGTTCTATTTAGAAATAATTCCAAGAACAGTTTTTTTGTTGTTTGGTTTTTTGAGTAGGAATCTCGCTCTGTCACCAGGCTGGAGTGCGATGGCGCGATCTAGGCTCACTGCAACTCCACCTCTGGGTTCAAGAGATTCTCCTGCCTCAGCCTCCCAAGTAGCTGGGACCACAGATGCGCACCACCACGCCCAGCTAATTTTTTGTATTTTTAGTAGACACAGGGTTTCGCCATGTTGGCCAGGATAGTCTCGATCTCTTGACCTTGTGATCCGCCTGCCTTGGCCTCCCAAAGTGCTGGGATTACAGGCTTGAACCACTGTACCTGGCCCCAAGAACAGATTTTATACTTTGTTTTCACGCTGAAAATCAGTGAGATTTGCTTCAGCCTCAAAGAGCATGTTTATGTAAAATTAAGTGAGTGCTGGCAGTGAGCTGCACTTTTTTTCCCTAAACAGAAAATGGGTTAAAAGAACCTGGTATCTCCATCCTCTCCCTTACTCCCTCTCTCCTGCCATGTGACACTCTGGCTCCCCTTTTGCCTTCTGCCATGATTGGAAGCTTCCTGAGGCCTCCTAGAAGCAGGTGCCAGCACCATGCTCCCAGTACAGCCTGCAGAACTGTGAGCCAATAAACCTCTTTTCTTTATAAGTTACCCAGCCTCAGTGTTCCTTTATAGCAACACAAACAGACTAACGCAGCTTTATATGGCAGCAAATGGATTCTTACACAGTATCTTTCTCAGAATAATGTTTCATAAGATCTCAACTCCTCTGTGCAATTACATTCAACATTATATAATGTTAGATGCCACCCCATAGAATGTAGGAGCAAATGGTTCTCATATAACATTGTTTATTCTAACATTTGGTGAGCTGGGAGAGGAATAGGAATCAGACAAGAAGGAATACCAACAGGATGGAACCCCTTCATTTTGTACAAATGAATCATCTAATTTTAAGGTGCTCTTATGATGAACATTCATTTATAATAATAAAACCTTGGAAAAATTCAGTACTTCGATGCTTGTGAGAATGATGTAAAACATTTTAAAACAACTTTAGAGGTATCTGAATTTAATATAAGGTAAGGTATTTCCATTACTCTATTTAAGTTTCTTAAATCTGTTATTGATATTGCAAATGGCTCATGACTAGCGGCATCTAATGTGGTGCATAAAAGCATGATAGTTGATCATATTGTATCTCAAATAGGGAAACAGTTCCAGAAAGTTCAGAAATGCAATATACTCAAAATTTTAGATGCTTCATCTTAGGAAAAAGTATTAGTAATTATTTTATGTTTAATTAACAACTAATCCCTCTTTCCAAACCAAAGTTAAATTTCACCAAAAAAGATATGCTGATAGAAATTACTTTTGTTGCAAATTCCATCTTAATGAAGTTCTCATAGAATTTTTTTTCTGTGGTACTTTTAAAAAATTCAACCACAGAAAAAGTAAAACCAGACTGGAAGTAAATATGTTGAATAAACACTGACCTGCACCCAATGACTCAATTAAAAATCAAATGGCATTTCTTTAAATGTCATATATATTTTAATTATTAAATTACTGGGTAGTTACTGTTACAAGCAAAAGAGATGATGGCTGATAATACTTAGAAATAACACAAATTGGGGAATTTTCCAAGAGAAGAATGTTTGACATTACACAAGTACAAATTTAAAAGACCCAGTGGCAGTGGAGGGAGATACTTACTGTCGTCTCGACCAGACTGAAAGCTGCTGCCTCTCTTCAGGGACGCTGTCTGACCGAGATGGCCCAACACAGAGGGACGGGTATCATTATCGAGATCCAACATGGGACTGTGCAGGCCTGGGCTACCTGGGAAAGAAAGGAGAGATTTCCGTATGCTCTACATGCTCTTGCTTAGTTGATTTAATGGACTGCTCCTCTGAGGCTATTTCTTGCTCAATTGCTGCACTCTTAAATATAAAATAAAAACTATATTCTCTAAATAGACTGTAAAAGTCATTCCCAGCTCAGCAAAGCTGTGGGGTGGTGGGAGGATGATGCTATAAACACAAAAATTAGCAAGAAAAATCATATTTTGCAAAACAACTTTTGGCACGAGAAAAAGTCATGGAATTTGAACTCTTGTTTCTTTAAATGCAGCCAACTTACACATTTTTGTAGCATAAATCTTCTCTGACTTCTCCCTTAATACCACACTTTACATTTTTAATCCCTAAAACCCACCATTTGTTTCTTGGACACGTGGGATTTCACCCCCTAGTGCTATTCTTAATACCAAGTCACCTAGTGTTGTTCCTTTTCACCTCACACTTCATATTCCAGAAGTCAAAACATTCTACTACTGTTAAGAAATTGTCTTTATTGTCTCACACTCAAATACTGCTTTTTAAATTCTCTTCTCAGAAGTTTTCCAGAAAACCCGCAGGATAAAGTCTATCTCAATGTTTTCCAACCCAAATTATCTTGAGAATTAGGAAACAATTTCTCTAAAACAGATTGCAAAAGCCATTAGGAATAGAATTCCATGTTGCCAAACAAGTTAGTAAGACATTGACGTGAAGTGGTAAAATTTGCCTGTTAGTCTATAAACACCACTCTAAGCTCTTTAGCTGAGTATTAAAAGACCTTCAAAATAAACTGAATTCAATGTGCATTTACAGAGTATTTATAGTACTGTGCATAGGACACTTAAATATTCTCCCTACAAAAAGACACCTTACATTTTCCTGTCTTCTTTGCTATACTCTCTTCATCCATTTAAACCCACATCCTGAAGGTGCAACTTGAAACAAAGCTATTACACAAAGCCACCTCTTACTCTTATCTACCTAAAGTGTTATCTATCTTTTCTGCCCTCTGACAGCAGTGAGAATGTATATAATTTAATTGGCTTCACATTCTACTGTCCATAGTTTACTAACAGCTATGTATTGCCCATCTCCAACAAAGACTGCTATCTTCTCAGGGATAAGAACTGAATATATCCCCATATTCCCCACAGTCACTGAACCTTCCACAAATAACTCCCGCCCACATGTAGTAAGTGACTGACACTAAAAAATACATTTTTTATTTTATAACTTAATAAAATATTAAAAGCCTATGGATTTGTTTTCAGGTGCTAAGATAAAACACGTTTATAAATTAAAGTAATATGCTGGTGCCTCTGATCATGCAAGCTATTTAATAACACTTAACAAGTATTTATTGAGCACCTTCCACATGCAAAAAATTGCAGGCCTTGGGGCTAAAGTGATGAATAATATCTAAGGCCCTGCTCTCAAGGTGTTTACATTCTGGGGATGGAAGCAGAAAATAAACCAATAGATAAATAAACAATAAAAATATAGTACAAAAAACCGCTAAGCAGAAGAGGTAAACAGAGATTGTGGGGTGAGAGAAGGCCTGATCTCAGGGCCCTCCTGTCACATGCCGCTGGATGTGACACATTATCATCTATCTCCCTACGTACCCACACATTCTACCTGGTCGGCCTTATAGAAATAGAAATTAAATCATTTTAACACATTTCTTAGTTCAATACAAATTTTTTGAAGACTTACCATGTTTTGGCCACTGTGCTAAATAAATGCTGTGCATACATTTGTACTTTGGAATATATTACAGCTAAGATGAGAAGGCTTATATAATCCACTATGTTATAATAAATATGTGATACAGAATAAAAAACTACAGTGAAGAATTTTTTTTTCTAATCGACTTTTTTCATATAAAATACATTTGTGTGTCGAAGTTTTAGTGATTTATGACATTTTCCTTTGAAGTTTATACAGCTGTCACTTCTATCAATTGTGGAATTCAGAAAATAAATACCAAAATATGAATTTTCTAACATAAAGAAGAAAATAAAGGGGCCCAAACTAAGCAACACATTAAAAATACATATATAAATTTATATTAAAATGTACGTTTTAAAAGTATAATAAGAGAATGCTTTAAAATGTTAAATTTCACTTACTCTTGAAGGTTTCAGAACTATGAATTTATGATTAAGAAGAAAAATACTTCCTAGTTTCCTGAAAATACACTATATACCATTCCTGCAAATAATACAATTATTTCAGAAAAAGTTTTCTCCCCCAAACTTGTATTTTTATAACTTTAAATTAATATTAAACCATTTGACATCTTGACTTTTGTAATGGTTAAAAGATTGACTTATCTTTTCCTTTAATAACAGAAACTATATTAATATGCTTTTGTTCTATTAGAAACCACATCATCACTTTTCTATATCAGGAAAAGAAAGGTAAACATGAGCTAATTTTCTAATTGGTACCCTGGCATTACCAGAAGTAAACACAGCAGCAGGGAGCTAGAACAGCACATGCCAGTCAGGACTAATCAGCATCTGGAATACATTTGGAAGGTGTGTTTTTGCTGAGTGACCAGAAGGTAGCGCTTCATAGCTGTACATGCTGTGTGCATAAGCCCTGCAAACTAAACAGTGGGTACCGGCTTAGAAATGTATTTCTCTCCCTAACACTTGTACTTTTCTTACCGTAAAAAAATCATCTTAGCATGAGTTGTTTTAAAGAGAATTAGAAAGCTTATGCTTTGAAAAGTAATATAAACATTTTAAATATCAGTTGTCACAAATTATTTATGACCAAGTGTCAAAAAATAAAAAAATAAAAAAACCTTGAGAATTCTGACACTCCTTTTAAATTACATGACTTAATATTTCTATCTTGCAAAATTATTAGAAGTATGAACTGGTTTCATAAGTAAGCTTTTCTATAAAAAAGAAAAAAACAGTTTCTACAAAATATAAAATCAGCAAAAGGCTTTAAATATTTCACATATCAGCCTATTTTGTCTTGTTTCACCTTACAACATTTTAGCAATATCTCATTAAGAAAACTATGCACATTACATAAAGCATATGTTGGCCGGGTGCAGTTTTTAACATCCCATAACAACATAAAATTGTGTTTAACTCTGTCCTTTTTAAACTAATGCTGTATTCATATGAGTTTTGAGAGGTTACTTGTTTTCCTGGGAGTAAATTTTCTCTAGAAATGAAATGTCCCTAGAATTTTTTTTTCTGGATGAAAATTTTTAAAAAGCCTTTTGTCAAGTAGGAAGTTATTACCTTTAGCCCTGATAAAAGGTTCTCATTTGGGCCAATACTAATGAATTATTCCCTATGTTTGAAATTGAGGCAGGGACTAATTTTATTAAGACTTTTCATGGTCATGCAGTTGGTATGGGGTTCTGCGGCAGCTCATGGAGCCACTGACCTATCCTGTAAAATATACCTGTAAAAATTAGGGCTTTGTACTATGCAATTTAAAAAGTCTTTTTAGCTATACAATTCTGACTCTATGATTCAAAGTTTAAATTAGAAACTTTAAATCACCACTGAGAACACCACAGAAAAGACACTTACTCTGGTCACTACTCCTACAATTTAGGAGATTGATCAGTGGTGGTGTCATTTTAAATGTATAAAGTTTGCCTCTACACATACAGCAAATGTGGAAATTATGTCTTAAAATGGAAATTACATCACAAAAATATTAAACACAATAAAAAAGTAATAGTGAAAACTATATCAGAATTTTATGATATTTGTTATGGACTTCAGCCTGGCTATTTTAAAGATAGTAAGCCCACTAATAAACACACTCAAATGCATAAGTGCTTGTAAAATCAAAAGCATTTGGTTGTAATCTCTCAAAGTTACCTGAGGAATAACTATAGATTACTCTGAATACAAAATTGCAAACAGGCACATGACCCTATAGCATGAGAAATCATTACTGTAGTATTTCTGTATTTCTAATTATAAAATTCTATGTAATGTTTGTAGGAAAAATGATACAAAATAAAATTCTGGAAATAAATATTTTTAGCATCTAGCTATATCTTTTAACTTCCCCACACTAGTATCTGAGTTATCATTTTGTCAGTATATCAAAGGAAAGATACAAGTTATCAAGAATGCTTGGAAGAAGTATCTTGGAAGAAAAAAAAATTCTTTAATCACTTAACATTAAAAAAAAGACACAACTAAGTTTTTAACTACTGGAAGTCAAAAGTTAGTATTTTATTTTTCCAGTTAAATAAAGTTTCTTTAACATATGCTTGCAATGTTAAATTCTTTTGCCAATTTTAAGTATGAGGATATGTTTAACAAATTATAAGCAAATATAAAATTAGAAAAAAATACCTTTGGAAATTTTATTTCAACAAGAGAAAAACAGCTGGAAAATTTGTTTTCCGAAGTTACAGAAATTATTTTCTTCAGAACACTAATGAAACAATCCTAGTAAGTTCACTAGAAGTGTAGAAATAATCAAAAATTTAAAATTTATTATTTTTCTAAAAGAAAATAAACAATCTTTGACAATTTGCCATGAACAAATTGAAACATCTGATATTTTTTTCCAACAACTGTGAAATTTCTACTATACAAAAACTTCAGCTTCATCTTGAACTATTGGTCTGGAAAAATCTTCCAGACAGCTAAAAAACTTAAAGGTTTAATAAGTCTAAATCCTACAACACTTCAGAAAACTGATAAGGACTTTAAGAAGACTCTGTAGAAAATGCTTATTATACCTAGAATTCTGTATAACTTCCAGGAAACCTTATCAGTCAAATCCTTTCCACGCAAAGCTGTGCAAGTCTTTCTGATTTTAAATAGCAGTATTTTTTTTTTTTTTTAACAGACTCTATGCGACATAAAGGGCAGAAGAGACCCTTCTTAAGGGAAGCCTGCAGATGCAGGGCCAGGTGAGTAAGATTACTGTTTTCTCATCCTTCATCCCTCCTATATCAAGTTTTCTCACAGTCTACAATAGTGTGGGGAACACTGATCT